AAGAAAAGGAGGTTACTCCCTTTGTGCAGTAATTACGGCTCTTCGAGATGTGTGTCCCCTTTGGGTGCTCCACTACCTGCCCTCCTTCCCCTTCGCGTCAGACTGTCCTCTGTGGGATGTTCGGCTGGAGAAGGAACCTGAGGATGGTTCGCCCGCACACTCCTATGTAGCCTTGATGTACGGCACAGGGAGCATGTGTGGTCCGAACCAAGACTGCTAACTGAAAATCTCTGATCGAGGGCTCGAGAGGCGCATGCGTGCCTGAAGTGGAGCATCCATAAAGACACGGATCTTGAAGCACGGCAGTTACTGCACAAAGTGAGTAATCTCTTCTTCTCAGCTTCCCTGTATCCCTGTTACATGCACCGAGCCTGCCTTTTCTCAGCTTCCCCATGCCTTTCTCAGGGAAATTCCTGATGGGGAGGGGAAGGGATCACAGGCTCCCCTCCTCCCGCCCCACTCCTGCTGCTCAGCAGGCTCAGAGCTACAGTCAACAAATATGTAACACCAAACACGGCACTTGCCTTCACAACCCCGTGTCCCCCTCCTGATGCCTTCTCATCCCAAGCAGGGTGTGATTGTGAATATGGCATCCGCATAGATCTTAGAAGGCAAAGGGGTAGATCAGGTCCTTGGAGATGCCAGATATACTACAGATGAGGAAACTGAAGCACAGAGAGAGAGCTCAAGCAACTCGAGCCAAGAGATGCAGAGCAAGGAGAAGAAGGGTAAACGGGATGACCCATCAGTCCCGGGCAAGATAATAGAGCAAGTGATACAGGACTCAACTGATAACGAATCAGATGAGGGTAATATAATTAATGCCAATCAGCATGGATTGATGGAAAATAGATGCTGTCAAACTAACTTGATATTTTTTTTATGAGATTGCAAGTTTGGCTGATAAAGATAATAGTCTTGATGTGATATACTTAGACTTCTGTAAAACATGTGAGTTGGTACCGCATGACATTTTGATTAAACATATAGAAAGTTATAAAATAATCATGGCACATGTTACATGGATTAAAAGCTGACTAACTGATAGATCTCAAAATGTATCTGTTAAAGGGGAATCCTGATTGAACTGGTATGTTTCAAATGGGGTCCTGCAGGGACTGGTTCTTGGCACTACTCTATTTAACATTTTTATCAATGACCTGGAAGAAAAAAACATCATTGGTAAAATTTGCCGATGACACAAAAATTGGGGGAGTGGTAAATAATGAAGAGGACAGGTCACTGGTACAGAGTGATCTGGATCACTTGGAAATCTGGGCACAAGCAAACAAATGTGTTTTAATATGTCTAAATGTGAATGTACACATGAAGGAACAAAGAATGTTGGCCAACCTTATGGGACGGGGGACTCTGGCCTGGGAAGCAGTGACTCTAAAAAAAGATTTGTTGTGGGTCCAGGGATAGATAATCAGTTGAACTTGACCCGCAGTGCAGCACTGTGGCCAAAAGGACTAATATACAATCCTTGGATCCATAAACATGGGAATCTCAAGTAGGAGTTGAGAGGTTATTGTATTTGGCGCTTGTGCGACTGCTGCTGGAATTCTGTGTCCAGTTCTGGTGTCTACAATTCAAGAAGAATGTTGATAAATTGGAGAGGGTTCAGAGAAGATCCACAAGAATGATTAAAGGATTAGAAAATGAGCCGTATAGTGACAGACTCGAGGATGTCAGTCTGTTTATCTTAACAAAGAGAAGATTAAGGGGTACGTCTGTAAGTACACACACAGGGAACAAATATTTAATAATGGGCTCTTCAATCTAGCAGATAAAGATCTAACATGATCCAGTTGCTGGAAGTGGAAGCTAGACAAATTCAGGTTGGAAATAAGGTGTAAATTTTTAATGGCTAGAGTAATTACCCATTGGAACAACTTACCGGAGGTGGAGAGGGATGAATTCTCCATCACTGGCGATTTTTAAATCACTCTTAGATGTTTTTCTTAAAGATCTGCTCTAGGAATGATTTTGGGCCAGTTCTCTGACCTGTGTTATACAGGAGGTCGGATTAGATCATCACAATGTTCCCTTCTGGCCTTGGAATCTGTGAATCTCTGAAGTCTGCACTCGAGTCCTGGGCAGAACCTGAGTCTCCTGGTCCCTAGTCAGTTCCAGTAACCAGAGCCCCATTGTCCTTCCTTATGCAGCCCCTCCTCGCACACTGCAGTGATGTACCATCACGTGACCATTTCACTTGGCAGATGCATTACCACGGGCAGAGTGGCCCAGTGAATGAGATTTGGTCTGGTGTATTATACACCAGGGTCCTGATTTGACCTTGTGCAACTTCAGTCATTTTAGCTGCAAACTAATACCAAGAGCTGTGAGGTGCAGAAGAATATTAACAGCTGTCAGCAGAAGTGGAGACGTGAATTCATTGTCTTTGGGTGCCACAGAATAATTTGTGAGCCATTCACGTTATTTCAATGACTGAGCTGGTATTTGCTCATATCTCTGATGAGTCTGCTCCTAACTGGGACTAGCCTAAGCATGCACTGGTTGGCACAGTGCCATCTGCCAGCCTGAGCCTGCACAGGCCACCATCAGGCCAATCACCACTTGCTCCACAGAACCAAACAGACCAGCTAATAATCCCGTCTGGTTGTGTTTGGAGCCAGGGCTGGGTGGTGTACACTGACTACAGGAGAGCTCAGGGAGAGCGGCATCTCTTGCATTCTCCCCTCTGATCTCAATGTGGGCATGAAAGGTTATGAGAACCTGTCATTTTTTAAAAGCAAGTTCTTGGCCGAATGAGCTGAGATTTGCACTGCATGCTCTCGTGCTGCTCATGGTGTGGCACGGCAGGACTTACGCTTCTTCAGCCATAACTGCAGAGTCGCTCCCTGGGAACGTGTGTTTGAGTGTAAATGTCCTAAACGGCTATTGCTGTTAGCCTTGCAGTGCCGCCTCTTCCGGCTGAGCTCCTCTGGGAAGGAACCATCCCATCGTGAATGTCAGAGAAGCACCTCACGAGTTGTGAGGTTTCCATAAGCCAGTAACAGCTGTGGTATCCCCATGCTAGAGCTTTATGCATTGTATCTCTCTCATAGGATGTCGTTTTAATAACCTGCATTAGCTACCCCAAGCTTTGCACTTCCCTGTTAGGGTTATTGTAGATGTAGAGGAAGGACCCCTTTTCTTCCTGTGAACTACCAGTGTGAACGTAGCATAGTCCATCAGGACATGTACGTCCCATTGTGCCACCTCCAAGGTCGGGCATGGTATTCTGTGTGTTAATGTTCTGCATGTGGTCACTGTCCTCGCTGGCTGGGCCTTGTACTATGACCTTACAGATTTGGCTTGTTTGGCATTCGGTCTTGCCAAGCCCTACAGTAGGTGTGTCTGTATTGAAATGGCCCTTCCCTGACACAGCTGCAGAGTGCAGGCTGGGACTGTCTTGGAGAGGGAGCCAGGGACCTGCAGCTCAAGGGGAGCTCAAGGGAAAGGAGGGTTTGAATTCTCTCGTGTGCTGACAGCCCCTCCTACTCTGTTTATCTCACACATTCGGCACACGACTCCACAGTCAGTGGGGACCTATTTTCCTAGGTTGCTTTCAAACACAGGTGTGTTAGTGACGATTGCAGTATGTGTGAAGGGATTTGGGGGGGGGGGCGGGGGACGGGACCTAGTGCGGGATGGAATGAACTCCCAGGTATTCAAGAGCAGGTGCAGCAGAGGCAAGGGTGGTGTGGGCACTGGGCTGGAGTAGGTGGCTTACCAGGCCTTTTCCCTCTCTAATTTCTGGGATGTGCTTCCTCACCTCCATTGTGAAGGGCGCCCATGTGACATAAATGCCTGACACTAGTGAGGTCAATTAGGTTTTATACTCTCAGGTACGGAATGGCAAAGAAATCTTGTATTTCTTCCCTTGATCTATGCCTACCACTTGTGACTTTAGAAGCTAATTAATTGGTGGAGGTGGATGCCTTCTGCAAGTGGGCAGTTAAAGCAGATGTGAGCCAATGTGCTCTGGCAGATAAAGCTCATGCTATATTGGCAGGCCAGACAGCCGCACAGAGCATCCTGCACTGCAACTCATGGCTTACTGTCCCTGATAGGAGAGGGGAGGGGCAGACTAAAGAAATTGTTTAATTCTCCTGGGTAAGTAATAAAATAAAGGCAAGATCCTGACTTCCCTATAAAGCAACTTCATAAGCATCTCAGTGCAATCTTCGAGAATCAAACGATTTGTCAACTTCAAAATTCCTGGCTGTCAGCACTGGAAAGTTTTCCTTCTTACTGGCATGCCCATGGGTTCGAATGGAATTCCGTGTTTTAAAATACAGTTATCAGCTGCGCTCTGTGATCCACTCGCAGACTAGCACAGTGAGTATTTGAGTTATAATCCGGTTTCTTCAGATGTGTGAAGTATTTTGCCTTAGGCCTCAGAGGTCATGCATTTGGAAGGTAGAGCCTTGGTTTCTGAAACCGCGCACGCTGCTGTCATCATTAAATTAACTCCTGTATCCTCTGCTTTCGTGTGCTCAGCACTGCTTTCCTTACATTTTGAAATAATCGTCTGAATGGTAAGTCCCGAATCTCTCCTGTGGATAGCCCCGCCATTTCTTTCCATTTTCCATCACTTATTTCCTATCATTTTTTTTCCTATTCAACAAACTGTTTTATTGTCTATCCTATAACTCTTCTATTTTATCCAGTATGCTTTGATGTGATACTTTATTAAATGCTCTTTGGAAACTATATGTACAACATGTAGCTGCCTTTCCTTTGTTGGTCATTACAGTCATTTCTCCAAGGAACTCAGCAGTTTAAGCAAGAACTATTTTCTCCTTAATACCATCAAATTATGGTTTTCAAGGATTTCCATCTGTTCATCTCAGCTGTTTGTTTATGATATGGTCAGAGAGACACACACACATACTGATAGTTGTTTGAAACAAGCCTATCTTGCTGTCTGCCCCTAATATGATAGATGACATATACTTCAAGTTTTCTCCACTTTTTCCATTTTCCTGCAGGAAGAAGAAGGTGAGGACGCAGACATCTCTTCTGGTCCTTCAGTCATTAGCCACAAGCTGCCTTCCACCCAGGCCTTGCATCACTTCACTCCTCGTTACTCTGAGATGAGTTGTGCTGGGATGCAGCTGCGAGATGCTCATGAAGAAAATCCGGAGAGCATTCTCGATGAACATGTACAGCGAGTAATGAAAACTCCAGGTTGTCAGTCCCCTGGACCTGGCCGCCATTCACCTAAGCCCCGGTCACCGGAAAGTGGCCAGGCTGGAAAGATGCAAGGGACAATACCTCCAGGGCATGGCAAGCATGCAACAAAATCAGGAATGAAACTGGACGCAGCTAACTTATACCACCATAAACATATCTACCACCACATTCATCACCACAGTGTGATGAAACCGAAGGAGCAGATTGAGGCTGAAGCCACTCAGAGAGTGCAGAACAGCTTTGCTTGGAATGTAGATTCACATAACTATGCAACAAAATCCCGGAACTACACTGAAAGCATGGGCCTGGCTCCCAACCCTGCGGATTCCTTGGGCTACAGGTGAGTGCAGGACCAGTGGGAGTTCTATAGCCATTGCTTTGTAGCAAGGTCATTTGGGAATGGACTGCATCATGCAAATAAATGCGCAAAATGCGTTTGGGTCCCCACTTGTAGCAGAGGTGTGGAATTCAGGAGTCACTCTGGGCTGTTCTCCGAGCATGGCAGTCCAGTCCCGCTCTTCTCCTCGGCAGTCTGTCCTTTCCCTTCAGCAGTGGATCTCTCCACAGTCATGCATGCCGTGTCCCTTATCAGTTCTGGGCTATGTTGCTGCAAAGGCTCCCTTTAAAGTTGCTCTGGAACTGCAGCAGCTATAGAGCCGGGGGCTGTTTTGCTCCTTTACTAGTGGTGATATTAATGTTGTACCCAGGCGCTCTCTGTGTGCCGGGTGCTCGGGCGCTCTGTGTGTGCTATATGTGCCTAAAAGTTGGCTTCTTCTCACATGCTGCATTCACAGCCCCTAAACTAACGGCTTGTTAATGGGGAGTGTCAGTGCAAGTGCATAAGAGCCCTTCATAATTCAGGGTCAAAGGGACTTGCCGGAGCTTCCTTTCCCTGTCTCGTGAAAGTAACCAAGATTAGCTGAATTGACCTAGCCCTCCATCCCAACGTTCAGTCTGATAGGGTCAGGGCCGCCGTTTCTCAGTGATGGGGTCATTTCTTGGGACCATCTGCCTGAGGACGATCACTGGAGGATCTAAAATTCCTTCCTGTTCCATCTTCACTTCCCATGTTTCCACCTCTCTTTCTGCTCAGGTGCGGGGGAGAAGGCAGTGATGAGAGTTTGTTGTGTTCCATTGGGCCAGTTTTGTTAGTTACATTATTGCATTATTCTTGTAGGCATCATCCAGATATCGTCCTGACCCGGCTGATGGGTGCTCAGTAAATCCCCTGTACTAATAAATGTCACAGTATGGAACTAATTGAGAGGGCTGGCTGCAAGAACCCTAGAATGAATGTTTATCAGTTGGAGCCAGGCATGGCAAATCTACTCAGCTGCAAGCCCCAGGGAGTAGAAGTTTTGATGGGCAAACTGGCTGAGTGGGGCTGGAGAGTCACTGACTCCTCCCTAGGATGGGAGGTGTGGGGCACAGAATAGAGCAGCCTAAACAACACAGCTCCTTTGAGAGGAGGGAGGAGGAGCAGAGAGGCTTAAGCTGCTACATTTTCCCCAGGAGGAAGGGGAGAGCAATGGTGCTTCCCCTTTAAGAGTAGGGTAGTGGGGGCCAGAGAGCAGAGGGATCCGGGGCAGAAGCACCCGGGAGGGATGTGGTAGGAGCAGAGGAGCCCACAATGCAGAAGTGGGAGGGAGACCAGAATTCTTTTTTGGGGGGGCGGGGGGGGGAGGGTTGATGATGATGGGCCGGTGTGAGCTAGTTCTGCAGGGCTCTGGAAGAGGGCTGATCGAATACTCTGCCAAGGCAGGTTGGTATATAGTCCTTGGGGGGAGCAGGTGTCGAAGAGTCTGAAAGCCCTGCATTGGGGCAGTTCACATTGCAGCCTGGCAGCATCCTACGGGCACGGGCTCTCAGGGATTGCAGCGTTTCCTGGAATCTAGCCCTGATGTAAAATAAAGAGTGAGCTGTTTTGGTTGCAGAGAGACTTCACAGTGTACTCAAGACATAAGCTGAGAGCCTACGGGGAGACCAGGAAGGAGTTTCCCCTCTAGGGTATTACTCAGTCATTTGCCCTATTCTGAAGCATTAACTGATGGCCATGGCAAGAGGAGAACATTGGACTTGGCAGGCCTGGGGTATCAGACCCTCGATGAGCTCCTTGTGTGGCAGGAAGAAGAGACCCAGACTTGGAGCAATGCTCCGATCTGGAATGGCAAATCATTTTCTGGGTGGTAAATTTCAGCTCCAGAACTGGCCGGATGGTCTAAGATTGGGCTGTGTTGCCATGTTGAAGCTAAGAGTTTGGCATTTAGCCCAGTCTTTCACTCCCTCGCCAGGATCTAGGAGATCTGCCAAGCATTGCATCTAGAGCTGTCAAGCGATTTTAATTGCGATTAATCGCGCTGTTAAATAATAATAGAATCCCATTTATTTAAATATTTTTGGATGTTTTCTAAATTTTTAAATATATTGATTTCAGTTACCACACAGAATACAAAGTGTACAGTGCTTGTTTTATATTATTATTTTTATTACAAATATTTGCACAGTAAAAAACAAAAGAAATAGTATTTTTCAATTCACCTAATAAAAATAATGTAATGCAATCACTTTATCATGAAAGTAGAACTTACAAATGTAGAATTATGTACAAAAAAAATAACTGCACTCAAAAATAAAAATAAAACAATGTAAAACTTTAGAGCCTACAAGTCCACTCAGTCCGGTTCTTCCGTGCCCTGGATTTGAAGGCTAAACAGAAGTTACACAAGAGCCTACAAGTCCACTCAGTCCTACTTCTTGTTCAGCCAGGAGTGCTGTAGCTATCTTTAGAAATCTCACATTGGTACCTTCTTTGTGTTTTGTCAGATCTGTAGTGAAAGTGTTCTTGAAACAAACAGCATGTGCTGGGTCATCATCCAAGACTGCTATAACAAGAAATATATGGCAGAATGCGGGTAAAACAGAGCAGGAGACCTACAGTTCTCCCCCAAGGAGTTCAGTCAAAAACGTAATTAATGCATTTAATGAGCACGAAGGGGCATACGAATGTTTAGCATATCTGGCATGTAAATACCTTGTAATGCCGGCTACAAACGTGCTCTGTGAACGCCTGTTCTCACTTTCCGGTGTAAATAAGAAGCAGGCAGCATTATGTCCAGTAAATATAAACAAACTTGTTTCTCTGAGCTATTGGCTGAACAAGAAGTAGGACTGAGCAGACTTGTAGGCTCTGAAGTTTTACATCGTTTTGTTTTTTGAGCGCAGTTATGTAATCAAAAAAATCTAAATTTGTAAGTTGCGCTTTCACAATAAAGAGATTGCACTATGGTACTTGTATGAGGTGAATTGAAAAATATTATTTCTTTATCACTTTTACAGTGCAAATATTTGTAATAAAAAATAAGTGAGCACCATGTGCTTTGTATTCTGTGTTGTAATTGAAATCAATACAGTATATTTGAAAATGTAGAAAAACATCCAAAATATTTAATAAATTTCAATTGGTATTCTATTGTTTAACAATGCGATTAACTGTGATTAATTTTATTAATTGCAATTAATTTTTTATAGTGATTAATTTTTTTGAATTAATCGCGTGAGTTAACTGCAATTAATCGACAGCCGTAATTGTGTAACATTGCTGTGATCCCTTTGGCAATGGAGAAGTCCCCTAGTTCCGGAGGGCAGCCATGCCCAGCCTTCCTTGTTTAACAGGATAATCATCACAGTGTAGAACGGGTGAGAGGCCTGGCATCCTTGCGATTTAAACAGGCATACACACTGCCTCAGCCCTTCCTAGTTTCATGGCATTTAAGACCAGAAGGGACCATTAGATTATCTAGTCTGATGATCCAGGCCAGCCAATTTCACCCAGTTAGTTACCCCTGCTTTGAGCCAATAACTTGGGTAGACTAAAGCATTTCAGTCCTTGGGAGACTAAACTGTTGTGTTGCACAGGCAGAGGACGGGCGAGACCAAGATGCCACCAATGCCCAAGGCCTCTGCAGTGGTAGCGAATTAGTTAGGTGGGATATATCCGGGTGATCCAGGCCCCAGGCAGCTTTCAGCCCAAAGCACAGCCTAGTCTTTGATTTAAAGTACTGAAAACTGGTGGGTTGGATCGCAGTGCAGGAGTGATTCCGTGTGTCACTGGGATATCCCCAAGCTGTGTTGCTGAGCTTCTTATAAACCAGTTCAGATTGTGGGGCTGTCATTCAGGGGCATTGAGCTGCCATCTGAGTGTAGCTAGAAAGCAAAAAGCGTCCCAGGTCCGCCACTTCTCTGCTATGTGTGGGTTCAGATGAGTAGCTAACGTCTCAAGCCTTCTTCTTGCAGTGGGAAAGCGAGTCTGCTCTCAAAAAGAAATGTCAAGAAGACTGATTCAGGGAAAAGTGATGGTGCCAACTATGAGATGCCCGGATCTCCTGAGGACGTGGAGAGGAACCAGAAAATCCTGCAGTGGATCATCGAAGGAGAGAAGGAGATCAGCAGGCATAAGAAAACAAGCCATGGGTAAGGGCTGGCAGTGTGTGGTGCCTGCATGCCATTGTACAGTAGCATTCCTGGGGGCAGCGGGGAGATGTGTGAGAGCACAGTTGTGAGGGCTCAGCTCTTCGGGAGCCCTGCGTCTTGCTCGGGTGCCCCCCATGGGGATGGCCAGAGTCTGTATTGAGGTGCCACAAGTTCATGACAGGTGTGTGGGGTTTGGTTTTACAGACAGGGTGTTTTGACTCCTAATAAAATTACCAAACGCACGTTCTCATATGCGTAGCTGTGTCGAAGCGCCCCCAGCCCTAGCTGAGCCTGGTCACAGGGATTCTCAAGAACCACTCCTCAGGCCTGGAGGGCTGGAAGCAGGTGCCCTGGCAGTGCCAGTGGGTGGATGTGTTCAGTTCATGCCCTCCAGAGTCCCCAGAGCTCTGGCTTACCAGGATGCACTAGCCCTGGAATATATTCAGCCCTTTAAGGTGTGGGCAGAAAAGAGACTTTCCCAGAAGGCCCTTTCTAACTCAGCAGATCTGCTCCCTGTCTGGCCTGGCTTCAGACTCGTGGCTGCTTGGCTTGCTGGCAGCACTCAGCCTTGTCTTCTCCAGCCAACCCCGAGAGCCAACAGTTACGGGAGCTGGATACTAGTCCGGCTGCGCATCATCAACAGAATTATTAACTAAATGCTGACTGCAAATGTGGCCAACTTAAGCCGCACCCTGGCTGTGCAGGATTGAATGTTCTGGGCGTCTCTTGCACCTAGAGAAATTCCAGCTCTTGGCTTTACCGTGCTGGTCTCCTTTTTGCTCAGTGATAGTCCTTTGTTTTCCTCTCTCCCCCTGCAGTGGTGCCCACAATTGTCTGACTGCATAGCATAATGAGACTCTGAGTGCCAGGGCCATGGAAAGTTTGAGTTACTGATTATAAGTCACCCTGTGCCACCGCTTCTGCTTGAGACGGACCCTCACCGTGCTGAAGTGCTGACTGCACATGGATATGCCAAAAAATAGTGACAGACACAAGGCAGGGGAGGTAATATCTTTTATTGGACCAATTTCTGCTGGTGAAGGAGACAAACTTTCGAGCTACAGAGAGCTCAGTGTAAGCTCAACAGCTTGTCTCTCTCACCAACAGAAGTTGGTCCAATAAAAGCTATTACCTCACCCGCCTTGTCTCTCTAATATCCTGGGACCGACATAGCTACAACAACATTGCAAAATATAGTGAGCAAATTGGATTCATAGCCTGGAAATAGAGCCATCACTTACCAGTGCATGCTCTGTGGAAGTCTATTAGGGGAATTTTGTAAGAGAGTATTCTTCTTTGAATAGTGTCCCCGTGCGTGCTCCACTTCAGGGGCACATGTGCCCCACTCGCCTGCCATCGGAGATTTTCGTTAGTGGTGTCCGTTCATCCCACACACTCGCCGCTGATATCCTCGTGCCCCTCCCCCCCCCCCCCCCCCAGGCTATCTCAGGCTGCACCGGCAAACTGTCCCCAGTTCCTTCTGACACATCTCAACCTGAGACAGAGCTGAGCATGTCTTCATTGTGCGTGCCTTGGCTGCTTGCTGACTTAGTTCTGAGTTTGTTTTAGTTTAGCTGCTTAGTTTGCTAGTTAGTTACTAGTTATTTGAGAGATTGTTTTATTTCCTCCAGGGAAATCCTCCATGCAAGGGGCATACCCCTTCTCTGGGGTTTAAACATTGCCTCTCACATAGAGAGGCTATCCCAGTCAACGATGGACACTCTAAGTGCATTTGCAGCCTAGGAGAGTCTCACATCTTACAGAAGTGTAACTTCTGTTTAGCCTTCAAATCCAGGGCATGGAAGAACCAGGAAATCAAGTCCCATGTAAAACTAAGCCTCCGTCTCCGTCAGGCAGCACCGCCTGTGAAGTATTCAAAACCCTTGGAACTAGGGTGACCGGAGAGCAAATGTGAAAAAAAACGGGACAGGGGGTGGGGGGTAATTGCAGCCTATATAAGAAAAAGACCCAAAAATCAGGACTGTCCCTATAAAATTGGGACATCTGGTCACCCTACTTGGAACCATCCTGCAGGGACAAGCATACTGGGCCGTCAGTACCGCAATGCCACTCGGTGCCACAAAACTTTTGATATCCAAAGGACTTATTGGTGACTGCTGAACGAGAGTCTCTATTTGTTGCAGGTAACGAGCATCTCTCGGTACCGAGAACCACTTTGTCTCCGGACCCTTATACGTCCCGGTACCATCACTTCCCCTTTCGCTCAGTGCTCCCCCTTTAGAGGAAGAAGAGACCGATGATGGAAACCTACCTTCAGCATTATTGATATGTCTCCAGGGTTCTCTTGGGTACCCATATAAGAACCCCCTTTCCCTGAGTTGTCTGGTTTCTCCAGAAAATTCCAGAATATGGTAGAGGATTTCCCATTTGATGGTCTGAAGTTGTTCACAGAGAATACCAACAAATCGTTGCATACCCTGAAAGACTCCAGGACCACATTACATTCATTAGTCATCTACACTCCTGCAAACAAAAGAAAATCCAGTAGAAGGCAAACGGCTCAAAGATCCCGCCCGATGCTATTCTCTGGTTTTCAGAGACCAACGGACCCTCCAAAAAGACACGTAACCTCAAGAGATCCTCTGACCCACCCGGCACAAGATCATAGCAGGCTTCATCTTCAAAGCACCATTTTTGACGGGATGATGGAGGGTTTGGACCCTCCCCTCTCTTTACCCTGTCAGCTGCAGCGATTTGCCAACCTCCTCGCATTTGGAGACCAACTCTCCTGTTTCCGACAAGCATGGGAGTGTATCACCTTGGACAAGTGGGTGCTGGAGATATCATCATCAAGCTACGCCATCCATTTCATCTACCTCCCTCCTTCTCATTTCCCTTCCCCATCCCTCTTCAGGGACGTGTCTCATGAGCTCTTAACAAGACAGGAAATCAACTTCCTCCTTCGTTTAGGAGTGATAGAGCTGGTCCCCACTCAGCACAAGGGAAGGGGCTTCTATCTGAGGTACTTCCTCATGCCAAAGAAAAATGGACTTCAGTCAGAAACTGTCTTCAACTTCTACATCACATAGCGGCTTGCACTTTTGTGTCAGAACATGCGAGATTACTCTTCACTGTTTCCAGGGGTGCCTTAGATCAGTTTACTCACCAGCCAGACAGCCTAGACCAGTGGTTTTCAACCTATGGTCCACGGATCCCAGGGGATCCACAGACTATGTCTAAGATTTCCAAAGAGGTTCACACTTCCATTTGAAATTTTTAGGGGTCCACAAATGAAAAAGGTTGAAAACCACTGTTGGAAAAAAACAGGTTCAGTTCCTCAATGGGTGAAATGCTCCCTAGACTGGTGGCAGGCTCACTGCAATGTAGGTGCAGGAGTTCCCTTCCTCCAGCTGACACCAATGGTAACCACAACCATGGATGCATCTCTGTTAGGATGGGGCACTCACCTCGATGCTCTCACAGTACGGGGCAGATGATTACCCCAAGAAACCACCCTCCACACCAGCCTGTTGGAGCTCAGAGCAGTTAGAAATACCTGCCTTCATTTTCTGCCTCTCATCAGATACAGGTCTATCAGAGACATGACAGACAACGTGGCCTGCATGTTCTGTATTAACCAGCAGGGAGGAGCGAGATCGCCTTCCCTGTGCACCGAAGCAATAAGGTTATGAAACATCGCATAAGAATTCCAGCAGTATATCTTCTGGGCAGGGGAAATGTCACAGCCAACGCTCTCAGCGGGTGTTTTTCCCAAGACTATGAATAGGAGTTGGATTCCCAGGTTCTTGTTGGCATAGTTCAGACTTTGGGGGTTCCCGAAGCGGGACAGCTACAAACAAAATGCCATCTGCTCTGTTCAAGAGGGAGCTAGGTCGCAATTCCTTAGGGGATGCCTTCGTCCTCACTTGGATGATGAAGCTGTTTCATGCATTTCCCCTGGTGTCTCTGATTCTCAGACAGGACAAGGCCAGAATTATCCTAATAGCCCCGACGTATTTGAGACAGGCATGGTTTCCTTACCTGCTTCACCTAGACACTCCTCTGCTCCTCTCCCAGGATGACGATCCTCTGCTGCATCCCAATCTGAGCATTTTTTGCCTCAAGGTTCCTTGATGGTTCATGGGGTTAGTCGGCTTGTTCTTCAGAGGTACAACAGATATTACTAAATGGTAGGAAAGAGTCTACCCGAAATGCTCACCTTCAAAAAGCGGAGACGATTTAGTGACTGGTGTGAACTCCAGGGAGCTGTTCCCAAATCCGCCTCACTTCTGCTTGTTCTGGGTTACCTGCTGCAATGAAAGCAATCCGGACTGTCAGTTAGTTCTCTCAAGGTTCGTTTGACCACCTTGCAGCTTTTCATACCACTATTGAGGAGTTCTCGCTGTTTGCTCACCCTACAACTGTAAGGTTCGTGAAAGGTCTGGGAAACCTTTCTCCACAGGTGAAAGTCCCCACCCCAGTTTGGGACCTTAATTTTGTTCTTAATAATGTCATGAAACCCTCTTTTGAGCTGCTGGCGACCTGCTCTTTACTGCATTTGTCTATCAAGACTGTCTTTTAGTGGTTATTACATCAGCCCGCAGAGTCGGAGAGATCGAGGCCTTAATGGCAGACCCTCCTTTAACAGTATTCTACAAAGACAGGGTTTCCTTACGGCCACGCCCCAGGTTTCTTCCTAAAGTGTCTTCTGAGTTTCATCTCAATCAGATCATTTACCTACCGGTTTTCTTTCCAAAACCCCAGAATTCCAATCTGGAGACTGCTTTCCATACCTTAGATGTCAGGAGCATGTTAGCCATCAATCTGGATAAGACTAAATCATTTCGTAAATCTCCTAGACTGTTTGTTTCATTTGCAGACAGATCTAAAGGTTGTGCTGTTTCTGCCCAAAGACTATCAAAATGGATTTCTGGGTGTATTACTGCTTGTACGCTGCTGCCAGCATTCCACCCCATCCTGGTGTGATTCCACACCCAGCTCACCCTGCGAGGACTCAGTCTAGACGTAGGCTTTACTTCAAAATGTCCCTGCATCTGAGATCTGCAGAGCTGCTCCACCGTGGTCCAGGCCCTACGCCTGAGTCGGTGCCTCTAGGTCTGATGCAGCAGTTGGCAATGCAGTTCTGTGCTGGACTAAATTCTGAAGCTGCCTCCATCTTATGGGGATGCTGCTTGGGAGTCACCTGAATTGGAGCACCCATGGGGCACTACTCGGAGAGGTTACTCACCCTGTGCAGCGACTGTAGTTCTTCGAGATGTGCCCCCTGTGTGTTCTCCACTGCCCACCCTCCTTCCCCTCTGCTTCAGAGTTTCCTTCGGAGGCTCAGCAGTGGAAAAGGAGCTGAGGGCAGTTCGCCCACGCAGCGAGGGGCACGAGGATATCTGCAGCGTGTGCATGGGCCGAATGGACGCTGCTAATGACAATCTCCAGTCGAGAGCTCGCGGGGCACCCATAGGGACACATCTCGAACACCTTACTGCACAGGGGGAGTGACCGCTCTTTAACTAACTCCTGTTAGTTTTATTTATGCATATTGGACGTCTCCTATGACTCATAAAATAGGTCCCAACCACGTGTGACCCCAGGGCTCATTTTGTAGTAAGCCGGTTGCTCTCCCCAGTGGCCTTGCAAAATTCCATCTCAGACGGTTCCTCAGTACCCCCTAAATCCTCCCTAGCACTGCAGCTGGATGTATGGTATTCTCTAGTCCCTTCTACCTGGGTGACAGTGCAGAGAGTGGCCTGGGGTGGCTGGGCGATCGCTGTGTCTAGTCAATGAAGCACTGAGCGGCTCTGTGTGTGTCAGGGGACATGGCTACATGGGTCAAATGTTGTTGTGTTTGTGTGTGAAGCTCCTCAGGTGCCAAGAAGCAGCTGGCCCATGATATGCCCAGACCTCTCTCCATCGAGCGCCCTGTCGCTGTGCACCCCTGGGTCAGTGCCCAGCTCAGGAACATCGTCCAACCTTCTCACCCGTTCATTCAAGATCCTACCATGCCGCCCAACCCAGCCCCCAACCCTCTGACGCAGCTGGAAGAAGCACGCAGGCGACTGGAGGAAGAGGAGAAGAGGGCTGGCAAACTGCCCCCCAAACAGAGGTGAGATGATTTAGTCTGGTCGGAGGGAGAGGGGAGGGGAGGCTGTTCTGAAGCAGAACCTAGAGGCAAGGAGGGAAGGACACGGTGACCCACTCAGCTGGTCCTGCTGCAGTTATCAGGATCTACCAGACAAAGGCGAGTGATGGGTGGTTAGAAAAGAGCACGTTTTGGAAGCCGTAGGATGCTGCATGCTCTGTAATGCTTCATCCATTCAACAGCAGGGAGCATCCCAGGGGCCTGGGAGCAAAAGCCAAAAACTGCCTTGAGAATGGGGAGCAGGGCCTTTAGATGGCGGGGCCGGAAGGGATCCCCTTGCTGTAGGCACGAGGCAAAGTCCCATTTCAGTTCCTGGAAAGGAACTGTGCCAGGCAGTGCTCTAGGAACTGCTCGAACGGGGGCTCTATGGGGTTGCTCTCTCTCACTGCCCCAGCAGTGTGCTTGTGGCTTCTGGCGGGGAAGAGCTCACTTGTTTTCATCAGGTCTGTGCTGTTTAGATGATTTAAATGGGGATGTGATTTTTAATGGCCTTTATTTTCTGTGGTGCAGCGAATTTCCTGAAGTTGACAACTGTAAAATGATCACTTTTTGCTGGCGTCCTTAAAAGTCGAACTGGCAGATGGTTCTCGTGGCAGGAACAGAGAAGGGAAAGGCAGAAACACTCGGTTCTACAGTAGAACCTCAGAGTTACGAACACCTTGGGAATGGAGGTTGTTCGTAACTCTGAACAAAACGTTATGGTTCTTTCAAAAGTTTACAACTGAACATTGACTTAATGCAGCTTTGAAACTTTACTATGCAGAAGAAAAATGCTGCTTTTAACCATCTGAATTTAAGTGAAACCAGCTCAGGTTCCTTACCTGGTCAAATCTTTTTTTTTAAACTTTCCCTTTATGTTTTTAGTTATTTATGTTTAACACAGTACTATACTGTATTCTATTTGCCCTCTCCCCCCTCTTTTTTGGTCTCTGCTGCTGTCTGATTGCATACTTCCGGTTCCAAATCAGGTGTGTGGTTGGCTGGTATCTCTGAGGTTCTACCGTAGTTCTGTTCTGGCACTGATTCACTGTGCAGCCATGTTCAAGTCACTTCACCGCTCTGTGACTCAGTTTCCTCATCTATCAAGCAGGGGTAATAGTCCTGTCCCTAATGTACCTTGCAGGAGAGGTGTGGGATTAATCCATGTTTACATAAACATGTTGAGCTCCTCAGATGAAAGGCATTTGAGAAGCACAAGATAATTAACATTAGCCATGAAATACCTTTTTAAATGGTGATTGCAAACAGCCACTCATGCAGTGTTCCAGAGACACAAAACTTCAGTGTCTGCCTACTTAGAAACATAGACATAATTTTTCAAAGGCACCCTTTAATTGCCTGGTTTTAATTATTTTCTCATGCAACTGCCCTATGGCAGACCCAGAGCAATGTTTACATGAGGTTTAGATTGGCAAGTGTGTAATTAAAGGGCACTCCCAAGTAGGCTAAGCCCCAGATATCCAGCCTGCATATAAACTGGTGAGATCAAATAGGGATTGCCCTCTTGGCTCCGAAGAGCATTTCAAAGAACCACCCACCCTCCCAGAAATGTATAGACACAGACACATGGCCTATATACAGAGGCCCATGCTACCTGCAGAATTAAAATAATATAGCAAGTATAGTAAACAACGTTCTCTGTAGGACCTACATGGTGGTGTGTGTTGTTTGTTATTGTGGTACTTAGCGTCTAGCCAAGGACAAGAGAACAAGCTGCATAATCAGGTGCATTCTCAGGGCTGTGCTGCTGCTCACACACACAACAAGCAACCTCCCCAAATGGGCGGGCATATTGCCCCTCCGTTGAGAACAAAGGAATGAAACAAACCCATCTGTTGCATGGAATGTGCCGACAAGGATGGTTTCATTTCTGGTTTCTGAGAGAACCTTGCAAACTGGAGAGAATAATACAGCTGTTATAAAAGGCAAAGGTGCCTGTATCCTTTGTGGGTAGCATGTTTAGTGACCCACAAGAACACATGCAGGAGTCCTCTGGGGAGCTAAGAGTTCCTATCAGTAGAAATGTCCCTGCTGAATTGTATTGCCTGGAGAAACCCTGATGCTCACATGGAAACATGTTTGGGCCAGTGTCTCCTTAGAGTCCATGTCCTTGTAGGACTAGCAATCCAGGGGACTTGAAAATAAGATCTCTGGGTAATGGGGTGTCCCAGTAAAGGCTGAGATTCAGGCATATGGAGAAAGCCCCCAGAAACCAAGTTAGTAGAGGATACCTGTTGACGAGAGATACCTAGCTGTAACAGGAGACTGTTTCCATGCAGCATTGTTGCACCCCTTCAGGGATGCTGGCCAGCCTCATAGCATAGAATCATACACATGTAGGACTGGAAGGGACCTTGAGAGATCATCTAGTCCAGTCCCCTGCACTCAAGGCAGGACTACGTAATAACTAGATCATTCCTGGCAGGTGTTTGTCTAACCTGTTTTTAAAAACCTCCAATGACAGAAACAATTGTGTATTAACTATATTGATTACCTAAGAATTCCCAGCTAACACTCTAAGGTTTGGTAGGTGCTTGTCCCAAGATCAGGCCCAGTATTATTAGAATCACTTGGGAACCCTGGGATCCACGGTTGCAACATTTGCACTTAGCAAAAACGTTCTGAATTTGCAATAGTTTTATTAACACAGATAGCAAAGTTACAAACACTCCAACCCAACAAGATAGAGAGAACATAGAATGAGTGTCTGAGCAGCCATATACTCACTCCATCCCTTGCAGAACAACCTGAAGTGTTAATCATTATTTTCCACATCACCATCACCAGTGATCCTTGTCTTGGCCTGTCCCAGGCATGCAGGCTGTGATACCGCTTTGATAATATGTTATACTGACTCCACTAAGTCTAATGCATATTTGGTAGTGTTTCAGCCCCTCTTCCTCATTTGAACTTCCACACCCCACTAATGTTGGGGTGCCCTTCTCCCATAGATTACTAGGCCTTTTACCTCAGGCTTATTAGCACATATGTCAATTAATTACCATGGTATTCTCGTGGTTGGACATCTGACGTCTGCAAAATCCCCAGAATGCTCGAACCAGCTTTAACTGGTACATTGCAGTATCTATTTTCTAAATATCAGGAGTTTTATCGCACTTCTTATATCCTGGGGTGTTGGGCCATGGCCATCTTGTGATAACCAGTAAAGTGACCCCAGATCATGTTAGCTGCTTACATCAAATCGTTCTTTGGCCCTGAGGCCTTGTTTGGCTATGCTAAATATCTTACAGGTCTGAGGCTTGTAGGCTTTCGTATTACTGCCTTAATCCATGTTTATATCACACCTGCCTGTACCTGTAGGCTACACCCTTTAAAATGCCATTCACTTCAGCAGGGAGCCGCTACAATGGAACCAAAAGCCCAGCAAAACAGCAGGGTTTGGTAGAGGCTGGTCCTTTTGCTTTAGGAAAGCGGAGAGAGCTTCCCTACAGAGACCCTGCCTCGGGGGGCTCCAGGGTCCTCCTTTCAGACGGAGGAGGAGAGCACGAGGCACCAGCTGACCCTGACCATTCTAAGAGAGCTAAGCTCTTTGACCCCTTCTAGGAAGGGTTAATTTCCCTGTCAAATTGACCGTGTTGCTCACACGTTTACCTTACCTCCGTAAGCTGTCCCCTCCTTCCGAAGGGACCCTCCAGAAGCCCCACAATCTCTTATGCTGTCTCCTAAAAAAAACCTGGCTGTTCTAGACAAAGGTGAGCAGTGTCACTCAGCAGCACTCCAGCCACCACCGTGTTCTGGCTCTGGATGCAAAGCGTGTGTCTGTACCCAACTGTAACGACAGCCAAACCTTCACTGGACAGGCCCTGCTCTCCCTGTGTGGCGCCCTGCTGCGGGAGGCGCAGGCTTCCTTGGGAGCTGTTCTGAAGCTGTTAGGTGTTGGGTGCGCAACGCCTCCCCCCAGTTATTAAAGGCCCCAGCCCCAGGGACACTCTTCTCTTTCTGCCTGTACTGGCGTCTCTGAACCATTTCCCTACCTCAGGTGCACAGCCAGTTTCTTTAGCTAGGTCCCACTGAGATGTAGGAAGCCCTTAGGCAGGTGGTGGTGTCTATTAGCTGTTCAGACTGACAGCTTCTGCAAGTGGCACACTAGTTTATGCCCAGCCCAAGCTCCCCATCCAGCAGACGTTCTAACGTGCATATGATGTGTAATGAACGCGGCCATGGCAGGGGCAGACACTCAGACCTCAGGCTAGTCCATTTGTTCTGCCTCTGCCCAGGAGTAACACAGCCCTTATAAAGCTACTCGGACACCACGTCCAGCTCAGGGTACCACCAGCCTTGGTGCCGTGAACCTTCCTTCCATGTTGAAACTGCGCCTCTTTCACTTGCGGCTCCAGCATGATGCAACTACACCTGTCATCGTAATAGCCTGTTAGGCCTGGTCTACACTAGGACTTTAATTCGGATTTAGCTGCCTTAATCCGAATTAACCCTTCACCCGTCCACACTACAGAGCCAGTTAATTCGAATTAAAGGGCCCTTTAAATCGATTTCTGTACTCCACCTCGACGAACGGAGTAGAGCCTAAATCGATTTTGTTAATTCGAATTAGGGTTAGTGTGGACGCACACCACCGAATTACTGTGTTTAAGTTAATGGGGTAGTGTGGCCGCACACCACCGAATTAATGTGGTTTAAAACCGAATTAAGGTGCTTAGTGTGGCCGCGCACAATCGAATTTATACAACCTGTTTCCCAAATTCGAATTATCTAAATTCGGATTAATCCTGTAGTGTAGACATACCCTTAGATTGTCACAAGGGATAATAATGAAGTGCAACTGCAATGAGTCATCTTAGTGCAGCATTAAGGCATCCTCTTTGCTCTCAAATAGCATTTCACGTTCAGAACAGAAGTAACACTCGATTACTTTGGAGCTGTATACGTGGAGTGTAACTCAGCGTCACATTTCCAATGCTGACAGTACTGAAAAACCACTAGCT